ACACACACACACACACAGAGGGGGGGGGAAAGAAAACGCGCCATCCATAAAAGGAAAAGGTCGTGCTCTGTAGGCACGCTGCAACGCGTCATCTCTCTCTCTCTCCCTCCATGAAATAACAAGAAGGGGTTAAGCAGAGGAAGAAGAAGGCGGGGGAGGAGGAGGAGAACGACAAGGGAGAGGGGAGCAGGGCACTTACTGGCGGCAAACGAGGGTGGTATTGTGTTGTGGACAAGGCGTCGGGGTGAACTTCCAACTCCGCGCGTACAAGGGTGGTGGTCGGGGAAGCCGTCCGTTGCGATTGTCGGATAAAACAGGACCCACTGTGGCCCGTTGATAGCGATGATCGACGGCCGCGATTGGGCCTCTTTTTGTTTTCCATAACAACTGGCCCTTAAGGGCCACCTCTTCTCTTTTTCTTTTTTTTTCCTTTTTTTGAGAAAACAACCCGAGTCTCACACCGGCGACTTGGGGAACGGTCACACAAGATCCAGGGTAGCAGTGCCGGATTCTCGTTGGGCCGGCCCACAGACTTGGTCCTGGACCCCAAAATGCTTCCAAGCCTTAGGCTTAGGTAGACATCTTGTGCGGGTAGACCACCCAATGGAAATGCGAATTGTGGTCTGAGGTTGTGTGTTCAAGACCCTCCGGCCTCACGCAGGGACACCGGCGGGCGTGCACACACATATCCCTTGGGATTGATGCACGATAAGGATTACAGACACTGCCTGCACCACCCAAGGGGTTCAGTCCAGGAGTGTGTTGCATGTCCGGGCTTGATTATCTGGGAGGTTGGCCATAGATTGTTCTGATGATCTCCCCAGTCAGGTACATTGGTACCATTTGAAACTGTAGTACATATGGTTGAGGATGACTGTTAAACAATGATGAACGTGGGTTTCAATACACAGAACAGCATAGTTTCCATACACAACACATATAGTCTGTGGATACATGGATATGTCCTATGCATAGACACAGCTGACAGGCACACATACAATTAATAAGCACATATACATAGCCTATAGGACTACAAACAGCCTATGGGCACACATGCAGTTAAACCACCAGTACCTGGCCCAGCTATCGAGTCTGAGCCTCGGCCGACCGGTATGCCGATCCGTGCGGAGGCTCGGACTACCGGGCGCAAGCATCCCGAACATTGGAGAGAAAGGCACGAAAAAAACGGGGAAACAAAAAACGGAAAAATAAAAAGAAATAAGAAAAACGAATGGGTTCATTCCCGCTTCGTGTTTCGGGAAACGCAAAGCGGGAATGAATCTTCCCGCTTTTGCACAGAGAGAGAGAGAGAGAGAGAGAGAGAGAGAGAGAGAGAGAGAGAGAGAGAGAAGAAAGCCTGGGCGAGGGCTCGAACACTGGACCGATCGAAAGAAATTCTTCGAAATCATACAAACTGAGGGGAATTGAACACTGGACCTACCGGAAAGACAGTATGCCTAGTCTACAGAAACTGGGCCTCGACTGAAGCCGGAATGGTACTATCCGGTACCGATGCCGACGGGAATTCTGTCAGACTAGAGACTTCAGCAGGTAGACACGGTGGACCGAGGATCTTGAGTTGGATAGATCGGAAGATTATTAAATTAGAATAAAAAATGGGGAAAGCAATCTAGGAGTAGGAGGTAGATACCCAGCCGCGGACCAGGGACGCGGCGGGCTAGTTCTATTTAACTAACACTATCGACCCTGTCAGCCTTTTGGATTGTGTTTCGAGGGACCCCCCTTGACGGTGATCCGTTGGCTACGGATCGAAACGCGGCGTAGGGGGAAGCCGCAGGACAGTTAGGTGGACGGCTTGCACTGATGTGCCATGTGTGCTCTATCATGTTATGAGATGATGAGTTTTGCAAGTGAAGTTATGGTTGTTGTATCTTTCGTCACACTTGCCTCCTCTTCTCTCATGAATGACGACGATGTATGCATGAGACCGTGTATGTGGTGACCACTATCCAAGAAAGAGAGAGAGAGAGAGAGAGACAGAGAGAGAGAGAGAGGGCGGGGCGGCCACCTGCACGGAGGGTCGCGGCGAACTCACCGTCTCTCTCTCTCTCTCTCTCTCTCTCTCTCTCTCTCTCTCTCTCTCTCTCTCTCTCTCTCT